AAAAAAAAAAAAAAGAAGGTAAAGAATTATAGAAAGTGGTAACAGTTGTTATTCATTGAGAGGGTACCATTATAATTTCAATTATCAAGAAAAAAGTGTAAAAAGTAATAAAAATTTACGCAAATTTTTCTTTTCCTTTTCCTTTTTCTTTCTTTTTTTTTCTCATATAAAAGACTTTAAATAACTGTTGAAATTAGAACAAAAATGTCATTTTTTCAAAAAGTTTGAAGTCTAACAACCATCAAACAACACTCTTCAAAACGCTATTCACTGATGATTTAAAAAGTATTAAAACAGAAAAAAAAAACAAAAAAAAAAGCTCGTGACCATCACTTAATTTAGTCTGTTATAGATTTTTTTTAAGTTTATTAGGTGTGATCAACAAACAATATATTTTTTTTACTTTTCTATAATACGTATACGAAAACATTCAGACAAAAAATAAGATAAAAAAAAGAGACCGGCAATAGCAATACAAAACACGTAGACTTGAAGACAATTAAGGACAATTAGATCAAAAAATTTTTGATTTCCGACAATAAAATAGCTGATCATAAAAATTATATATTAAAGCGAATTGTTTGTGGCAACAATTTCAGTAATTTTCATATACAATAAAGTTAAATATTATTACAATTAAAAGACAAAAAAAAGCAATCGAATTAGCAGCTAAGACAATTATTGTATCTTTTAGATAGGATATATGTACACAGTGTATCAGTCGGTAATATTGTCACTAACTACGGTAAAGCATAATCAATCCTCTTTTGTTCAGATCAATGCTAAACAGATTTTAGTAATGAGACTAAGCGAAAAAAAATTTCAGCATGAAACAAAACTGTACAGATGTATAAATAGAAATTTCTGTTCTTTTTATTCACCGTCAAATCATCACCGTCGTTACCATTGAATGCCAAATATAAAAATAAACAGCAAATATAAGAACTAAAATCAACTTTTTTTTTCTTCGCGATCTTTACAATTACAGATACTAAAATATCGGAATAGCAAATGAAAAAAAAATGGTTCTTGATGAAACGACCAATTCAATGTCGTACAAAAAAAAAAAAAAAAGTAAATAAATAGTCAAACGTAAATGCACATACACACAAATCCACACCTATAACCGATACACATACCCAGTCAGTCAGCCAGTCAGTCATTAAGGTCATCGTTAAGCCGATGTGATGATTTTTAGTAGAAGTCATTAGTCAAACTACTACCTCTTTGCAGCCTTTTCTATGAAAATAATCGCTCTACTTTTTTTTTCTTTTTGATGCTTCATTATATTCCAATCCAACAACAATAAAAAAAGAAAAGAAAAAAATAGGTGTTTCTTCTGGTTTTTTTCTCTTCTTCTCCTTCTTCTCTCATCTTGAATATAAAAAGAAAAAATTGAAAGTGGACGGTGGTAGGAGGGGACAAAGCTCTTTCTTTCCACTTCTTTTTTTTCACCATCTAACTCATCAAAACATTATTTATTTTGCAACTTTCTTCAGAAAACTAAATTCTATTTCTTAAGGTTTTCATCGTTTAACAACATCACTAAAATCTTTCAAAAAAATTCTAGATCTCTAAAGTTTAATTACCAACAACAACTAAGACAACAGCATCAGCAAGAAAAATAAGTAATATTTACCCATTTGCTCTAGCTGTTTTACTTAGGTCGCAAATTATTCCCCAAATAGCGTTTGTTCCTTTTAACCTGCAAGCCATCTGAGACTGCCGTTTAATACTTTCAACATCAGTGGTAGTCTTAAATGGTAGATCTATGGTTGTTAGCATTACAGGTGCTACGGTAGTAGTTTTATCGGGAAAAGTAATCTGCGGTCTGGTGGACTCTGTATTCCAGCCTGTGGTAGCCGTCGGATTGCTCTCTTGCGTCAGAGTATGTGTTGCCGCAGTTGGCAAAGCTACGGTGGCAGATGTTGCTAACTCAGTAGTAGCAGTTTCTGCTACAGATGCTTCGTATGTTATTGTACTAGTTTCGTACATAATGGCGCTGGTTTCCATTGATAATGGGTATTCTGGTGTCAGAATATTCTTGCTGCTTAACTCTGGACTCGGTAGTAAAGTGCTGGAAGAAATAAATCCTTCACGGCTTGTGGAATAACCAGTCATTGTCGCTGTGATCGGTTCAGAAGTAACCACACTAAAATCTCTTTCTGAAGACTCGACTTCTGTCGTTGTAGCTAATGGAGATGACTGCAGCGAAGATGAAGATGGATTTACTGATGTAACTGTCCCTTCTGGCTGTGACTGCGCTGCCAGAACTTCAGTTTGAGTTGCAGCAGAAGCGCTAGTAATTTCTGATTCTGGCATTGATGATGGTGTTGTTACCATCTCGGCACTGCTAAACGTGTAATTTTTGGTATCTTCAATTATAAATATGTCATTTGTAGAGACTGTTAGAGAAGGGGTTTCAGAAGATGGTTCACTTGTAGTTTGTGGTTCACTCGGTGTACCGGTGGTGAAATACTCTTCAAACTCTGGAATATTTGACGAAGTCAAAAATTTGTTGGAAGAAGCTGCAGAAGAATGTGTAGTTACTACTATCGAGGCTTCTAATGGTGAAGAAGAAGTCGTCTCTATAACTCCCGGTGAAAAATCAGTTTCCGAAGTTCCAGTTTGATTATTTGGTTCTGCAGTAGACATTTGGATAGTTTCGGTTATTTGTGGTGTAGTATACTGATAAAAGTAGATCAGTGAGTGCAGCTCATCAGTGTTCTCAATCACTGTGCATTCCGTCGTTTCTGCAGTCGGAGTGTTCGTCGTTATTGATACAGGCATTTTTGTTTGTTTCCCTGACGCATCAGTAGCCACCACGGTAAAACAGTAATTGCTCCCATTGTTCGGCAAATCCTCTACCAAAATTATGTCACCTGACAAATAACGTTTAATTGGCTTTAAAACTACCCAAGGCTAATAAACTCATCAATTATGATAATTGTGAAACAAGACAATCAATAAAAGTTTGTGCATTTTGTGCACTAAAAACCACTTAAAGAACTTTTGTGAAAAAATATAAACATTGCCAAAAGGCCAATTTGAAACATTAAATTACGCATAAAAAGCTACTCAGCCAAACTGTTTGAAGAAGAAGAGCAAAGCAGTAATACCCACCCGTATTTGGTTTTATTCGAAATGAATTGTCATTTGGTTCAGAGGAATACATATCGTAAACAATTTTTGTATTTGTAGGCGATGTTGCAGTTATGCGGGCGACGGATGAACCCGGAGATGGCCAATTTTCACTGACAATCGGAATTTTGTACGACAAAAATTCGAACACTGGCGAAGTAAAATCATCAGGCATGCCATACACAAGCTCATAAGCAATTTGTGTATCCGAATATGGTGGATTTTCATCAATGAAATGTATGCTTTGCTGTAAAAGTACTAAGGTATCAGGGTTTCTGAGGAAAATATATGAACTGAAATTTCTATCAAACGACTTAAATAAAAAAAATATAAGTTTAGTTGTTAGTTACAACTAAAAAACAACCTGATCATTTTTAGAGCTCCAAATATTGTATTGTGGAATTAATCTTTGTTGTCTTGAAGCACCTGAGGACACTTGACTTATCCTGAGAATCTCATAGTTCTCTGGAATCTGAACCGGATATAGTAAACGGACGAAGTAAGCTGTACCATTGCTTTCTGATGACAATCGTTCAAATTTCGCTGTTTGCTTCCTATAATTCTTTCCCGACGTGGTTCCATTTTCTTCGGACACCTAAAATATTTTGATAAGCTGGCCTGAAGTAAGGTAGGCTAGAAAGTAAGTACACTTTTCAAAAGCAAATGTTAGCCTGGCAGGCAAGGATTCTTACATAAGTTTACAACAAAAAAAGTTTGACATATTTTCTAAAAGTCGACAATGATGTTACTACACTAAGATTCAAAACTTACCTCAATAAGGCTGGGGATTAAAACCCGATGAATCGTTGACCTAACGGTGTCGTAAAAATAAAAAGTTTGAGGATTTGAATACGCACAAAGCAACAGTCTTATTGAAGAAATTATTTTTTGCACATAAAATATTTGAGGGTTTTCCACTTTTACAACACTGTTTGCAACAGAAGGAGATAATCCCAGGTTTCGAAGTCGTGCAGGCTGGAAAAAACTTGAGTAAAAAACCTAACTGGATCAGTTTGTAACGTTTACCTCAATAAACTTTCTATTAATTTGTTTACACCCATTTAAAATTCTTGATTGTTTTAAAGTAAGTTGTATAAGCCAATCCAAGTACCTTCCCCGTAACTGAGAACTTATACTTCACGGTTACGACTCCTCCAGAGAAAATAAGCGGTATTGTGTACTGTGGAATCAGGTTTCCATTGTCTTCGCCAATCCAAATCCTGTCAATAGAAAATGGCCTGCTTGCCGAGTCATTTGTGTTAGTTATCAGTACCTCAGACCGCTCGATTTTAACATCCCACAAGTTTGAATAACTGCAAAAATATCATTTTAATTTAAGTAATAACAATTGAATATTCTTTTCAAAATCCGGATTTTGCCTGATGAGGCATTCATTTGGCTACCATTTGCGTTACGCAACGAAGACAAACAAAATTTGCTTACCCAGTGTTTATGAAATCCACCATTGCACTAAAAGTTGCATTATCATCGTCCAGCCCAAGTTTTTTTGAGGGAACTTCTGGGACTAATAAATATCGCAGTGTTAGCGATGACTGTGGTACAAGTATAATGGGATCGGCTTCAAGCCTTTGTACAGTTTGTTTACCATTTGCAATAAATTGTAATACTACGACGGCCTGTAAAAGAACTATCATCTTTAAAAATTTTCACACAGCGCTCTATCGCCATTTTCAAAGTCACAGGCTAAAATCTACATATTTGGAATTAAGACATACTTGATATTTACAAGACCGAGTTAGTCTGTTGTTTTCGACAACTTTTGCTGCCCATTGTGCTTCAAATGTTGACTTCGGACTTAACGATGAATATCCGTCCAGTGATTTGATACCGTCAACAAATAGTGGACCAATGCGAAATTGGATTGGCATAAAACTTTTTGGTACTTCAACAAGTTCCAAGAAAACGTGCACATTTGTGAGTGGAAAATCCTAAAGTTAGTTTTTTCTCTATGACCACATACTGATTGCAGATTGTTGCTATTTAGCAGCATTTCTAAGCAAATTTTTCTACCTAGAACTAGGATCTCAATGTAGCATAATTGAAAAACGTAAAAGAATAGAGATTACTAAATAAAATAAAAACTTCGAAAAATTATACTTTTTTATTCTGCACTTTAAGTTTTACAAGGAACTCTTTATCTTCATTGACTTCTGGTGATGATGTGGCGAGGTAAGCAACAGCACACTGTGTCTCCATTTGATTAGCTTCTGCATTCGTTTCACGAGCGGGACGAGAAAGTAATAGTGCCATATTTTTATGTAGTAATGAAAAAGGATCAGATGCTTCATACTGAAAAACAATTTAAAAACAAATAATAAGTCTATATACAATTTTATGAGTTCCTATGTGCTAGTTTGGTCCCTTACTTGTCTCGTCAATGATTTTAGGCGATCTGCGGTTGCCACTAAGCGTCGAGCACTGCTAAATGAAATGCCGTTCTTAGGCTCAATATCAAATATGGACCATCGTGAAACCGTTGTATTCCATAAACTAACAAGTTCAAAACTACTTCCGTTCTCTGAAAACAGCGTTTGTTAAATTAACTATACAAGAACGGTAGAATGAAGTTGCGGGTGAAGTTAAGATAGCCTAGTGGGCTAAATTCATGTTACTATATGATTATAAAGGCTGTACTAAAATCATACCCATCAAATTTTCAAATTCCGTTGGAGAAATCGCAATTCCCGCTTCAGAAGATTCAGATACAGCAGCAAAAAACTGATCAAACCATGATCGAGACTCCACTTCTTTGAAAATACTACTAGGAAATATACTCTACAAGTAAGAATATTCTTTCTTTTGTACTTTTCACATAAAACAATCAAAAAATTGAAAGTTATTGTAATATTTTTTTCTCTCATATTCACTACGCCAAATATTTAATCCTGCAATAATCTTGCAAACAGCTAATCAATTAATACCTCAAACTGGTTGAAGAAATCAAAATAAAATGATGCCATATTTACTGCCTGCCTTTCGAGAGCGTCAAAGCTATCGAAAAATCGTTTTGTTATACTTTCGAAATTACTTTTGACTTTTGAAATCTAAAGCAATTTCTTTTTATGTAAATAGCGAAAAATCTTAAATTTTTAAAACAAATAACACGAACTTGCTCAAAAAATATATGAAGGTTATTTTCTTCAATTGTTGCACCCAGTGTATTCTGATTTACGTCAAAACTTTTTTTTTGTAGCAGTGGACATTTGGTTTCCAAACTGGTCACACATCTAAAAGATTGACGCAAAAATAGGTTAATAAAATTTTAGTTAAACAATGCCACTTATTACTGACAGAAATATCCAATAAAAGCATAAAAAAATTTAGGTAAGAGTTTTTCTGTAATTAAAGTAAATAAATAGCTAATTTTTACACTTTTACACTATCCAAAAACGTACTCCAAAGAGTCTTTAACGGCCTTAAAGAGAACACCGTTAGCATTACAGTTAGCACCCAACAAGATGAATGCAGCCAAAGTTTGAAACGAAACTGTATCTTCTTCAATCATCCTCCAACTGTCACCACATACGCTTGCAGAAACATATTTCTGACGACACTTTTGTCGTTCGTCCTCAGCGCAGTCACAGCTGACAACAATTTTTCGCCAAAAAGAAGTCGGTTTTACAGTGCTAGTATGATCCACTAGAATGAAAAGCAGTTTCCGAGTTCTCAAAAGTGTATATAAGCGTAAAACAGATGACTTTCTCTGGTGTTTTAATGAAAGTTATTTTTTAAAAAATGTAGTCCTTGAATAATCAACTTCAAAAATTCTACCGCATTTTACTTCAGTATCAGTGCCGTTTTCATCAAAACATATTTCTCACTAACTGCATAAACAGATCTCTAATTATTTTTTGTCAAAATTTTTCGAACAGAGATTAAAAAAAAGCGAAAAAAAAGTGTTAAAAATACCTTCACAAAACCGAAGGTTATCTTCAGCGTCACGAAGATCAATTAGTAGAGGCGATTCTCTGACAAAATTTGATTGTAGGTTAGGAATTATATAAAAATAAGGCACTTTTATAACAAATGCATTGCATCTGTGATTAACAAATCTTGCATTAGCATCCAGAGCAAAACTTTTTCTGTATCCATCTCCACAACCCAACCCGTAATCTAATGGGCTCTGAAAATAATGCATCGAGCATAAAAAATGTAAAAAAAACTGATGGTAAGGAGCAATAAAATAATTTGTTAAAACATATTTATCTTAATCAAATAAACGTTGCCGAGTGTATTAGTTTAAAAACAGCTACTGATGCTCACCATTGAAAAGCTAAATGACAATTTGCCATTCAGTGTGTACTGATACCCATCAAAATAGATAAAGGAATCGTTAGAACCTCCAATGTTTTCCATAAGCAATGTTTCTAGGCTCGAATCTTGCATTATAGTTGATGGAGTAAACCGTAATGCCGGTGCAGGTACCTCAAATAAGAAATGTTAAGCATTAAAATTCAGTACAAAAAATTTCTACTTTTAATAAATTATGCAGTCACCGACTACAGTAATAAAACTGCTACAAATATACGTAAAAGATTAGCAGCAGATTTTATTTTTGGCGATTTTCACAAGCAAAATTTTAGTTATTTAGAATAGCGCATCTCACGCTTGAGAAGAAATTAAAAAGAACAGGAAAGTTATTAGTGCAGTAACCAGTTTTAATTGAAAAATATACTAGTTGACTTGCTTTGCTTTCGTCGTAAAACATCTGAAGATTAAGTTGTCGGTCCTCAATTACTGGTTGCAACGGAAACAATAGTGGTAAAAATACATTGATTGAGTTATTTGTAGGTGTGGGCTACAAAAGTGAAAGTTAGTTTAAGCAAAATTGTTGAATAAATTTGTAGTTTAAGAAGTGCACAATACATAAACAACGTAAAATCAAAAAGAATTTATGCTTGTCGTTATAGACCACGAAAGAAATATCAGTGGCTCATGTAAAACCCTTCAATAACTAATATTTCTTTAATCAGCGTTTGCAAAAGAAAGTTCTTTTGTAAGACAACAAAACGAAAGTTCACTCATACAAATTTAACCACTTGAGGTCGTTTTAGAAATACCTTTAAAAGTTTACCTGAATGATAAGTGTTACTGTTTGATGTATTGGCGACCATACCTTCAACTCATATATATCTTCAATTATTGAAAGGAAGACGAAACTGCCTAAACATGAACAATATTTCTTTTTATTCTTGACATAAGGTTTATAATTAAATAAAACTTGAACAGTTACTTGCTGCACTATAAAAACTGTTTTTAAACTAGAAAAAAGCTAATCAAAAGTATGTAGTTTTTTTGCAAATAAATTTTTTATTTTGATGGTGGCCGCAAGAGCAAACAAAAAAAAACCATCGCTAATCATTTTTCGTCTTTCGCTAAATTCGTTTTCGGCACTCCGAAGTGTTAGTTCGGCATCTTGAACACTGCTAGCCAAATTCATTGCAGTGTACTCGTCTTGAAGGCGAACTACCAGATTAAAAAAATTCCATTTGATGACAGTCCACTTATAAGGAACGTTAACGAGCAGCTAAATGAATTCAGTATTTTAGTAAACAAAGCTAATTATTTAATAAACATCTTCAACTTTTTATTCAGCATGAATACAATGTATGTGTTCTTGTAAGTGTGACAAAAAAGCTGCCGACAAAAACAAAAAACTACAGAAGAAAAAAATATGTAATGTCGTTAAATTTGTATACAGAGCTCAACAAGTCCAGAAATTCGTGCTAAATTTGCCTGTACAATTGTAACTTACGGTCTCGGCCATCAAGAGCGATATATTTCCTTGGAGGGACTCCTCAAGGGCTGCTCCGGGTGCTGCATAAGCAAAAGTTACCAGCAGTTCAGATCCTTCGCTGTTATACATGTTGTAGTTATCTAATGGTGGACTAACCGAGGCAATAAATAGTGGAGTATTTCCAGGGTCAATCTTTATTTTTATCGGCGAATAAAAATTGTAACCTTTATTCAGAAACCTAACCTGAAAATTCAAAC